TAGTGTAATTTAATTTTAATTATTAACCAGTGATTAAAATATAAATTATTAAAATTTGAGAGTACCATAAAGATATATATATATATATATATATATATATATATATTGATAATGACTAAATTATAAATAAATAAAATTAGAAGACCAAATTTAAAATTACAGAAATTTGATTTAAGTGACTATAATGAAAGCTAACAAAGCTAAAGGCGTCGTGGAAATGATTTGGCCATTCCCAAAATTACGGATATATCCCTCCCCCAAAACGGCGTCGTTTAGGGGAGGGCATTTATACCCTTTATGGCCGGCCACAATGGCCATCTTTTCTCATTTTTTTCTTTCTTTTCTCTCTTTAGAAGAGAGAAAATATTTTCTCTCAACTCTCTCTTCAATTCCCTCACCGGAGGGAAGAGAGTTCCGGCCGACAGCCACGCTTTGGCGCCGACCACCACCGCCGACCACCGTCACCGGTGGTCGGAAAATATAAAACCCTCTCAAAAGATAGATCGAAACGATCTAAAACCGAATCCAACCCTCTTCTTCTATAAAACATGTCTTATTTACGTAGATCTACAAAAATACCTTCGAGTATTTCGAATCTTTTGTCACGCGTGGATGTTTATTGTTTCTCCGGTGACCGTGGAGTCCTCTTTGGTAAGTTCTTTCTCTTTCGGTTTAATATTTGTTGGTTTTTGGTTGTTTGTGGCTCTTGGTTGCTGGTCGTTGGTCTCTGTCTCCTCTTTATGTTTGTTCGTCGTTGTTGTAGTCTCTTGTTCTCCGTTGCTCTCTGTGGCTGTGGGTTTTTTCTCTTTCTTGCAGGTGGGGTGGCTTTTATAGCCACCACCGAGGCTCTCGTTGGACCGGTTCCAGAGATGAGTTCTGGTGAATCACCAAACTATGTGGTGACTCACCCCATAGCTGCGACGTGGACGGCCGACGTGGTGTTTCTGGAGTCTTCGAAGAGGCGGTGGTGTCGTGGCTACAGCGGGGTGGAACACCTGGAGGCGGCAGCTGGGCTCTTCTAGAATCTTGGAGGCGGCGGCAGCAGTGCTAGGGTTTAGAAACCCTAGCTGAAACCCTAAATGTTTAGGGTTTCATTTTGGTATGGGCCGGTTCTGGTTGGGCCTGGGATTTGGGCTTGTAAACGGGATTGGGCCTCTGATATAATTTTGTAATATATATATATATATATATATTTAATAATAAATAATAATAATATTATTATATTAATAATAATATTTATAATAATAATAATAATTTTAATAATAACAAACGAAAAATTAGTGTTTACAGCATGTATACTCATAAACTCCTTACTGACACTGACTGTCTGACCGAAATTGACCACCACTAACCCGCGGGTCCAGGAACGTCAATCCTGAGGCTCTGATATCACTAAATGTAACACCCTAGACCAGTACGACACACAGTTGATCGATTTAAGGTGCTATATGGAACCATCGAAGTGGCTAACCAACTTATTCTTCTTTCTTGTACTTTAAAACGAATATTTACATATGATAGTCCTCAAAAAATATAGATACATACATACTGACTCTACAACTCAATACAATTGAATTCATGAATATACATGTCATTTAAGAAACTTGTTACGCACTCTGCTCTGCACTGGATCTGGACATCGATCTCTCTAAAACTTCTCAATTGATGGATCTACTAACCTACCCACGGAAACATCGCGCCACACTAACAACTAAAACATACTAAAAGTTTGTCACTGAAATGCTCAAGCTATCAAGTCTACTGCTATCTAGTCTATTGGTATGTTCTGTTCTGCTTTAGTGAGTATACTCGTATACTCATTCTCTATTCTATGGTAGATATCATGGTGTGGATGAGGGTTCTTCATCTCGGAGCTCACACACCCCTCTAGTCTACCGAGAATTTGGCCCCCGAAATCTCTACATCGAACACCACACTCTCAACTAGCCCACTCTTGAGTGTCGGACCTTGCGCCCAAATTAGTCAGCTTAAAGTGCCTTGCACACTCCCTAAGGATATCCGAAATGAATCTATACTTTCGACTCAATTATCTTTCCTAAATGAACTTGGGTGTCCTAGTCGTTTTCCCGATCATTCAAACAAGGCTAGTCTTATTTCACCCTACTTTATTCTCGTTTCTACGTTCAAAATTAAAAATTAATAAATGTTCTCACTTGTAGTCTTATTTGAGATAAATTATAAGCTTTTGGGAAACCTCACTTACCTCTATACTTTCTCTTGAGTTAAAGCCCATTTCTCAACCTTGGTATCGATACTGGCCTTACAATATCGATACCCTCGCTTGCCTCTACCCTTACTCGTTCTTTAAAGCTCAAACCATACCCTTGGAATCGATATTAGCCTTACAGTATCAATACCCTCTCTACAGTATCGATACTCTACCTAAGATATCAATACCCCTACAACAATTTCATCCATTTTAACCCAACTTTAACACTTTTGTAGCACTTATTCTAGTGTTTTACACCTATTCGATCCCATTTATGGTCATATTATGGGTCTAGGGCCTCTCGGACAACGTTTTGGCCAAAACAGACTGAAAGTATCAATAGTAGCCCAAGAGTATCGATACTCCTGCAAAAGTTTTGATACTTCATATAAGTACTGATACTTTTATACATTTTGTTCTGCCCAGTTTCGAAACTTTCTGGGAGTTTTGAAACTATGACCCAAAGTTACGATACTCTTGAAAAAGTATTGATACTCTTACCCAGAAACTCATGAATTTGTCCAAAACGAAGAACAAGTATCGATATTATCCCTATAGTATCGATACTCTACCTAAAGAAGTCATAAAACACATACGGAAATGTTATATTTCAATCCCAAATACCCTAGTAAGGCCCCCAAGCATTCTTTAAAGTCTTATGTGATTAAATAGAGCATAAATAAGGCTTTATATCGTGCTTATAACATAAATTATGTAATCTACCATTAACATATAACACTAAGCTTCATAACTTACTCTCAAGCTATAACTCTTCTAATGATCACTCGGAGTATTGAAGAGTTAATAGTGTGTTATCTGGCCTCCTTGGTTTCTAAAATCTCCCTCAACTCAACTAGGAGTCACCTTACCTTTATCATTTGCTTTAGAACTTCACCCACCTCATTGGCTAATCAAAACAAAACTAGGGGTTACTAACTTGTCTTTGACTTGGAAAATAAGTTAAAACATTATGTACTATTTAATATTACTCAAAACAAGCTTAAATCTCTAGGTTCCTTTCAAACTCCCAAAAACCCATTTTGAAAACAAATTATAAAACTCACAAAATGGAGCTTGAAACAAAGTTTGAAGGATTGAGAGAAACATTCTTACCTTGGCTAAACAAATCTAAGATTATAATGCTTGAAACTTGGCTCTTGAAAGGAAGAAGAAATGGAAACTAATGGAAGGAATAATAAGAAGAAGAGGGGGTGAGATATTATGGGGAGTTTGGTTACATGAAATGATATAAAAAGAGGGGGAAAGTTTTCAGCTTCAGCAAAATGGGTAAACTACACTTTAGGCCATTCACCTATTAACTCACTTTAAAACTATCTCTTATCTTTAACTCTTGGGCTTACCTTAGGCTCAACACCTATATAATTTGGTCCAACTATCTTGGAAGGTCTAATTGGCTTGACTTAAAGGTCTCAGGTTGACCCAAACTACTAACCCGAGTTTTGGGGTATTATACAACTACAATATATAGACAAGACATTAGTGGACTCATGTGATATACTAAATGGGTAAAATCTGAAAATCTGACAACTAGGTCTATTTAGCGTGTTAGAATTATTATAAACACTACTCAGTCATGATTAGGGATGGACATGGGTTGGGTTGGGTCGTATTTTCGGTCGATCCAACCCAAACGTTATACACCCTTCACTTGAAACCCGACTCGATCTAGGCTTAGAGTGACTTCATCTGACCTGAATCGACCCGCCTTTTTAAGATAAAACTCAAACTCATCCCGATTTGATATGCAATGAATATATTTACATATAAATAGTGATATAATTGAAAATTTTAATATAGAGATAAATATTATTATAACTATCCATAAATATATAAGGTATAATTATATTATTTTTTATTCGGGTCGAGTTGAGTATTTTTTATCCTAAACTCAAACACAACCTAACCCTATTCTCTAAAAAATCTGACCCAACTCAGACCTGAAATTAAAAAAAGCAACCCAATAGAATTAGAGCGGGTCAAAACCTATCAATTTAAGGTTTCGTGTCCACCTCTAGCCATGACTTAGGAGAATCATTTTCATTTCCTTTTTCGCATTCTAATATCTTTCATTATGTTTTCACTTGTATCACAAAAAAACTAGACAACAATTCTTTTCTCATTAATTATAATTCTCAATCCAAATCATAAGTGAACTGTCAACAACGATGGATGAGAAATTTATTTCAATCAAAATTAATTGATAAAAACACATATATTGCGTCCATTAAAAATAATTGTGTTATACCTCCAAATAAACTTCTCCACCTACTAAACCTTCAAAAAGCTTGTATCCTTCGAGTCAATTATAACACATGAACAAAATTTTTAATAGATCCACGTGATCTGCCAACACGAGCAAAATGAGAATTAAACCACTAAATCTGTTTAGTATACTAGAGTCATTATAAATACTCCCTAATCACGACTGAATAAGAGAATCATACCCACTTCCTTCTCTTTTACTCCAATATTATGCCTTCATCTCTATCATGAGAAACACTGTCCAACTATCATTTCCTCTTTAACTGTAGCACTCTATTCAAATCAGAAAGAGTAAATCGATATGTACTTATTCCAAACAAAATTAATTTGGTTGCACAACATTATAATAAGATGACTATTTGCAGTCAATTTGCCTTTAAGACACAAGCACTTCACGAACTCTTTAGCCTTCCATTTAATAAACAGAAGAACCATTCTTAACGGAAATTAAATAACGTTCAATAAGGTCAAGTCATCATCACATTTCTTTTCCAAATATCTATTCATTTATTTGCTGCATCATACCATGCAATACGAGTAAAAGCTGTAGTGTACGAATGGAAAATTTAATCAAACTCCAAATCCATTGAATAAATGTTGCATTAATAATCAAAAGACATAAATCAAGTGAGACTGCGCTTTTTGCATCTGAACAAATGGTTGCTTAAATCGTCAACATCCCCTACCCACCACTCTCACCTCATTCGCGCTCCCACACTAACGCTTTTATTATATATTAATTCCCAGCAAAACCATCAACCGTAACCCTCCATCCCCTTGCTATTTCCGACCTGCAACAAATAAATTATGCAAACGTTACCAGCACTGTCTAGGCAATCTTTCCGACGAACACAGCAAAAGAGAGATTTTACCACAAAATAAATTGTTCAACTCGCCCTTCACAAAAGCAAACATCATCCAAAATTTCCAAGGACTTGAAACATAATCTCTTCCATTACCATTTAGTTTTAGACAAGAAAATACTTCAAAACATATATGCCTAACATTCATGCAGTTACCCTTATCAAGTCACCCTTAACCTTGCTTGAAAAAGAATTACTCCGATCTCCACTAATATATCAATAAAAGCATGAAACATGCTAAAAGGATAATACGTTCACATGGTTACCCAATCTTATAACATCTATTGAAAAATGTGACTTGCCAGGGAGTTTAAGTGCAACCACATTTGTCATCATATAAAACGTTTTAGACTTATCAATTACGATTAAAACTTCATTTAACATATTTATCTTCCGAATAAAATGGCCTCTTCAAGGTGTAGGAGATAAAAAGAACCACAAAAGGTATTATTGGTTAGGTGTAATTACCATGTTCAGAACTATGCTTAAACAGAGAGTCTTGCTTTCAGATCTGCTGCAACAGCATCAAGGAACTCCTCAGTATTCAGGTAATGGTCCCTAGAAAGCCTGCAGCATTCATATCAATGTTACAACCATGTTCTGTAGAACACATTTATACATGTATGCAAACTGAAAATAGAACAATCATGAGCATCCATTGACAGGTACAGTTCTTACATAGGTAGACCACAAAGTGTACGTTATTGGGCATTTAAATTGCTTAGAACATGCTTGACAAATTCTTACTTAGAGCCGTGAATAATAAGTGCAAGATCTTTGGTCATCTTTCCGGATTCCACAGTTCCAATACAAGCTGCCTCCAGTTTCTCAGTGAAATCCAATAGTTTAGGATTGTCATCCAATTTTGCCCTGAAAGAAGGTAATTCCAGTGAACATTTTAAAATTCCCATTCCGTGCCAACACGTAAAAGAAAAAAGCTTAAGTGCTATAATGACTACCTGTGTGCAAGTCCACGAGTCCAGGCAAAGATAGATGCTATGCTGTTTGTGCTGGTTTCACCACCTTTCTGGTGAACTCTGTAATGTCGCGTAACAGTACCATGAGCAGCTTCTGCTTCTATTGTCTTCCCATCTGGGCAAACCTGAACACAAACCAATTCGTTCTGTAGTTAGGGTACATTTGGCATGTAGGATGGTAGTCAGATAGGATCAAACTTGCATCATCCCACATGTTTGGTATTCCTCTTGAGAGGAAGATTAGATAGACTAGTACCCTTGGATAGAATGAGTAAATACCATGGAAAAGGACGGTATTTTGGTCCTATGAATCAGGATGATAGATACAACAAAAGTCATCACATTCTACCCTTGTAAAATTATCAAACAGTACCCTCAATCATTGCAACACCGAACATAAGATAGGATAGATATTAGTTAACCCAATCCACTTCAACTTCTATTTTATATTATCTACGTTATCCTATGCATCAAACAAACCCGTAGTCCCTTATATATAAAGTTATTTATCGCCAACGTATAAGAAGAAAAAAATGAAAGGAACTGTTGCCATGGGATATACCAGCACAGATGTCATCAATCCAAGAGATCCAAACCCTACAAAAGAAATTCAGGTTTAGTTCCAGAGCATTATAGCTTACAAGCCACAAGAATCATGCAAAACTTCATCAAATAGGCTGAAAGGGGAAAACATTAGTCTGGATATTAGTTTGCGACACCAACCTTGGGCTAAGAAATCACTCTGGACATCACCATCATAGTTCTTGCATGCCCACACATAACCACCTTCACTCTTTAGGGCATATGCCACCATATCATCAATGAGACGGTGTTCATACCTTCAGTTAGATCATATGAATCAATATTTGACACGGACATAGAGTATTGATTAATGTCTTTGAAACCAGAAAGATAATTACCATATCCCAGCAGCCTCATATTTTGATTTCCAGTTCGCTTCATAAACCTCTTGAAAGATATCCTTAAATCTTCATTAAAGAAATAAACATGGACTATAGGAGTCAAAAATTGAATAATAAAGTGCTTCTACTAGTAGAAGTTTTACTTATTATGCACGTCACATACCTTCCATCATACTTCTTAAGGATAGTATTCTTGGTACTTAGATAAAGAGGCCACTTCTTCTGATAAGCAGTGTTCATGGAAGCCTCAGCAAAAGCACGAATGGACTTCATTTCCATGTCAAAGATAAAGCAAAAGAATTCAGACACTGCTAGAACCCAAAAAAAAATTAAGCTACAACAAGACCATCAAAAGACTCATAGGTTTTTACCTCATCTGTGTTATACATAGCAAGTGAAACTCCTCCCTCACCGGTGAAGTTGAAAACTTCATACTCTGTCGTCTCACCCTGTCCCTCTGGAACTGCCAACAATGGCAATCAATGCTAGTTAACCACAAATCAAAATAAGCAATGCAATATCAGGAATCATCAAGCAAAGCAAAGATTTTACCAAAAACAAGTTTAAGTTTCCCAGCTCCTTTAATGACAGCGTCAGTAGCTCGATATTGATCACCAAAGGCATGCCTTCCAATGCATATAGGCTTTGTCCAACCTGATGGCATAAGAAGTCAACATATCTTAATATAAATGTAAGTAAATAAAAAAATATAAACTACAAAATCAAGAAAAACTGAATACCTGGGACCAGTCGAGGGACATTTTTGCAAATAATTGGCTCTCTAAAGACAGTGCCTGAAAGATTACTCCATCAATAACAGCTAATAATGAACAATGCACAAAATAATAGGAAAATTTTTCTAGAAAGATATGAATGCATTAAAGCTAACCATTCAAAATGTTCCTAATAGTCCCATTAGGGCTCTTCCACATCTGCTTCAAGTTAAACTCCTTAACACGAGCTTCATCTGAAAATCACCAAAATCATATTGTAAGAACTTGCTGAATTTGATGAATACTATCATTGTGATAAGAAAGAAAAATTCACTAATTCAACAAGTAAATGCATGCATCTATCCAGTAAAAAATTCAGCCATGCATACCTGGAGTGATTGTAGCACACTTGATGGCAACATTGTACCTAAAATAAGAACCAGAAACACTCAAAATCAGCAGAAAAAAACACAAATAACACAATGCAAGTACATTCACTGAATTAAACACAAGAGTGAAAACAACTAAAACATACTTGAGAGTAGCTTCTGCACTTTCAATTGTAACTTTGTCTTCGGTAGCATCCCGACATGGAAGCCCAAGGTCAAAGTACTTTATGTCCAACTCCACAAACGGCAAGATGAGCTACAGAATAATCAAAATGATATTACGCCATAAGAATCTCTTAAAAGTCTTCAACAAAAATTAGGTACATGTCATCATATAGATTATAGATCAATGAACCACCTTATCCTTGATTGATTTCCAAATAACTCTGGTCATTTCATCTCCTGCGCCACAGAAATGGTCAAATGTAAACAAAACTTTTGGTTTCCATATAGACAAGTTGTTATGATCAGCCATGCAGTGAGAGTAAGATGGCATGCTTCAGATAATCCCTTTTTGTTCATTAGTAAACCACCAAATATGGTTTTGATAATCCTTTTTATATAAAATACATTAAACATAAATGAAAGTTCTGCTGATTCCAATCCAATCAACTTGACGTGAAGCTCAAAATACGGCATATGATAATAAACATAATCGAATTAAAAAGATGGTGAAAACCGAAGTGTTTCACAAGTTAGGTTGGCCTAACAGACTGAAAGGATGTTGTTAGCTTTCAGTTTATAAGATCTGCATCGAGATTCATTTTTAATATCGGTTTTCATTTCTGTTTACTTCGAAACTGTTCATAAGAAAGCCGATCGGAGTCAGAAGAAACACGAACAAAGAGCAAAGAAAAATGGACCAGATCTGAGTGTGAAAGCAACAGCTTATGTATTGAATCGAAGCAAATGAAATCCGAAGGTGAATCTGAATCTGAATCTGAATCTGAAATGAAAAAGAAAAGAAAAAGGAGATACCGTCCATCTCAACGATGGGATTGGCGACCTTGATCTTATCTAAACCCATTGCTTTTCCACTGATTTGAGCTTTCTTTACTTTTCAGATGAGAGAACTAGATGAAAAATAAGAATTGAGGAGCCGAGTTTTACGAAGTCTAGTTTATGTAGATGGAGCCGTGTTTTATGGGCGATCCTCACCTAACCCATAACCATCTTCATTTTAGGCGTTTAGCACTCTAACTATTATTGTTATTCTACTTTAATCACTCATTTAGTATTTTTTAAAATAATATCTAATATTATGTTTTTATTTCATTTTGATCAAATTTAATAGAATTGATGTTGTGGTATTAAAAAAACGTTTAATAGTAATACATTATCTTATGATGACACATTAATATAACCGTTAATTTTTTAACAGTGAGTGATCAAAATAAAATCAAAAGATAAAATTAGATATGTTTTTGCATAAAAATATAATTAGGTTACCAAAATGGAATAAAATTAATAGTTAGAGTGCTAAAAGTGTAGTTTACTTTTTTTCCTAGATTAATGTCTTAGCGGCGGTCCCCACCAACCGATATTATAGTATCCTATATAATTACTCATCCGCCTCCATCTCCACCTAATCCCGGATGACGGTTTCCATTTTTTTTTCTTACTGAAAAAAAGGGGGTTTGGGATAGCTACGTTTTCAACACAGTTGACAAAACCAAATTGAACATAGCATCAATTGGGTCTTCGATTTTGTTCATTGGATACTAGCATAAAATATCAAATTTAAAATTACATATCAATTTTGATAAAATATATAATATTATTTATAAATTTTGATTATATTTGTTTTTAAAATTTTTATTCAATTTTTATAAAGCATCAATATTGCGTAGTAGAAGTATAATTGCACAAAATATAATCAATTATAATTGTATATAATTTAATTGAAAATAAAAATATTTAAATGACATCAGTATATTTTAAAACTTCAATTAATATAAAACTATAGCTGAATTTACACATATAATTTTTTATATAAAATTTCAATATAAAATTCTAAAAAGTTTTTTTTTTTGCCTTCAGGTTCCCAAGGATCTGTCTTGACTAATCTGGACTGACCCGATCACACACCTAGTTTTAGTGGGTGAGTCTCTCAGCGGGTATTTTCTGCATACACAATGACTTAAACTCAAAAATTGTTTAAACGATATCAAGTTGCTTACCACTTGAACCTACCTAAAATTTAAAATTTTCAACAACTCAAAATTAATATTAAGTCAAAATCTTATAGATTGGTAATAACAAAAACTTAAGGGTCCATTTGATATTTTTATTGGTTTATAACTATCATATAATACCTAAAACTATGAATAACAACATGAAAAGTGAATACTAAAAGTTTTTCTTCGATAATCTAAAATAATTATAAGATAATATCTGTTTAAAATCTTATTTAGTCATTGACAAGAAACATACTCTACAAATGTAGCTATTTAAATTTGAGACCTTAAGGGATAATAATACTCTTTAAAAATGCTTGAAGAGTTTTAAATACCAAAAATTGAATGTAAAGAAAAGCAAAATTAGATAGGTTAGGTTAGGTTTCAAATCAGCATCTACCCATCTAATTGTATTTGGCATTTCTCTTTCAAGTAATATTTTTCATATTTTCATGAAAGGATGACAAAAGAAATATTTTTCAATAAAAGAAAACAGACATGAAATAATTCTGTCTTTGCTAGTAGATGCTAGCACTCAAATTTTAACTTAATAGATATTGCCTTTCATATATAATTTATATAAATTAATTGAATTAAACTCTGAATATTTGAAACATAGATGAAACACAAATATGAGTGTCTCAAAGGTTTGAGCACCTCATAAGTTGTATGATTAAAGGAACCAATAGTAAGGACCATCATGGAGACACGCCAAAATGCAATTAATGAATCTCATTATTTTAATTTGTTAATGGTAATGTTTTTTTTGGTAATAATAGGGACCCACTAAAAGGTTAGTGACGATATCTTTGCTCCATTGCAGCACGATCAGAGGCTAGCATTCTTTGAGCCTCGGTGGGGAGTTGCTAGTATATTTTAAGCTCTGGGTTTGGCCCTCGATCAAGACTTGATATTTTATCAACCAGGCAGTTGTCCTCGCGGGAAATATGCTTAAATTTAAGGTTCCAAGGGAGGTTAATGTAGGCCCTTATCCTTCGAACAATGGTCGGCTCATTGGGACCATTCTTGGTGCCGAAAAAAGCAGAAAACTTCCATGTTATCAGTTTCAACTTCCAGGTTCCGAATGTCGCGCTCCCAAGAGATCTAAAGCTCAATTGGCCAAAGCTCAGCTAGTAGGATGGTAGCACAGCCGATATTTCTTGAAATTCCTTATATATGTTGGGAAATAAACGAGTAACAAGTAATTTCCCTATAACCATATTAGTGAGAATGCGAAATAAAAGCGAAAAAATAATACTTGAAATTGATAACGGAGTTCAGCCAATTGTGCCTACGTCTCCGGACTGCTGCAGATCTTTTACTAAGAGAGAAAATTTACAGGTGTTTACAAAACACTCACTACTCACAATAAAACTCTCTAGTATTGGGAGAAATAAATGATTTGGGATTTTGGGATGATTATGAAGCTAAATGAGCTAGGTTATTTATAGTTGAAATTTAAGGACTAATTTGTAAATACCGTAAAAATTCAAGGACTCAATTTTATAATTATCACTTGATAATTTCAACAATTTGGTGCTGCCCAAATTGTTGAATTCTTCAGCCACCAATGTGGGAAAAAAACCAGCTGCCCCACTTGTTAATATTCAACAATCTCCCACTTGAAGACTGATTTTAATCTGTCTTCACACCTCGATCAATGCAGCAACATTTATGCTCTTGTTACTGTAGCATGCCAACTGAAGCTAAACACAACTTCAGTTTGTCCGTAGTCATCGGCCTGTACACCCACTTGTTATTGGGCAGTTTCTGCGTGGTTGCCTTGTCTCTCAATGTCTTAGCTCCTTTCGAATTTTGTCCACTGGTCTTTGAAGGATTGTTCCTCACTTGAACATCCACGGTAAGCCCTTGCTTCGACCCTTCTCTTAAGATGGTCTCTGAAGCCATGTTCTCTACACGAACATGCTCGACAAATTCCTTGGACATGGACAACTCCTCCTACACTTAGCTTCTACTCGTCTTGGCAGAAATGAACCTTATTGAGACAACTCTCAATGCCTCTTCGATCCTGGGTTCGTCCTCTTCTTTAGACAACTCGATCTCGGGCTCATCCATCACCTTGGATGACTCGGCTCCCCTCGGGTAATTTTGGAACACTTCTGGCATCTTAAGTCTGTGCCCCCTCGTTTGCTTGACTTTTACCCTCGGTTTAACATCTTTGACACTCAAACTTGTGCCAAGACTGCACACATTTTCACCAGATCCACCATCTGACTCATCTATGAGTGGACTTTCTTTGCCACTCGAGGAACAACCTTCCTTATCCTCTGACTGGCCTTCATTACGGAATCTCTTGCCGCTACCCTCATATTTCGGCTTTGCTTTGGAAGTCTTGTTCTTCTTGACTTCAAATTCTTTGATGGACTCTATGGTTGTCAAGGCTTCAAATAATCCATTGACTTCCCTTCGCTCCAACATTTTCTTTGCCCATGGCTTCAATCCGAACATGAAGGTGAAGAATCCATTTTCTTCAGTCAAACTTGGGACTTTGAGCATGAGTTTTCTGAATCTACTCACATACTTCTTAAGTGTCCCTTTATGCCTGAGACGCCTCAACTTAGACCACGCCTCCATCCCGGCATACTGTGAGTGGACTTGCTCACATTGCACACTTGGCTTGATAGCTTTATCTCTTGCTATCGCACCGGGTCCCTTCTTGTGTTCGACTGCTTTGACACCCGCAGTCTCGTCACGTTTTCTTCCGGGTTCGGCTGTTTCAACATCAACAACCTTGCCTCGTCTCGATCCTTGCTTGGCCGCATTGATCTCATTAATCGGGCCAAGTCTTTTTGCTAGCTTGGTAGCTTTAACACTTACGACCGCATCAATTCCCAGTACTTCTCCTTCTTCCATCCTCTTCATGATGGCTCTAAGGCGACACTTCTCGGGGCATCCTCTAATCAAATGAGGACCATCACAGAAGTAGCATTTCAATTTTTCCTTGCTCTCATTCTTCTTTACACCTGACTTAGCCTTGCCATTCTTTCCCGATGGCTTTCCTTGGCTACGAATAGTCGATGGCTCACCTTGGCCATTCGAAGAGCTTTCTCTACTATTTCTCTGTTGCATCTTTTCCCTATCTCCACCATTGTTGCCACTATCTCTGGGCATGAGCCTGGACGACACATCGCTACTTGGCTTGTTACCTACAAGCTCAGTCAGCTTTCGTGCTACATCTATGGCCTCCGAAAGTCTCTGGGCATTTCATTTCTCTTCCTCGAGCATTACCCCTAGTCTAAGTCCTTCCAAGAAGGTCTTGAGCGCATCCCATTCACTCATTGTTCCCTTGCATCTAAGTAGCTCCCTCTTGATCTCATCAACTTCGTTTCTCAAAGTCATAGCTCCCACTCGAATCTGGCTTCTTTGGATCGTTTCTGACAATTCTTGCAAACCACCGTGTATTAGAACACATCCGTCGATAAATTCGTATCACCGACAAAATATTTACTATTCAAAAAATTCACTATTCACGAAATTCACTATTCATGTAAATAGTAATGAATAGTAATCTCGCAAAAAATTGACAAAATTCACAACCAAAAGCTCTGATTACCAGTTGTTGGGAAATAAACAAGTAACAAGTAATTTCCCTATAACCAGATTAGAGAGAATGCGAAATAAAAGCGGAAAAATAATACCCGAAATTGATAACGGAGTTCATCCAATTGTGCCTATGTCTCCGGACTGCTACAGATCTTTTATTAAGAGAGAAAATTTACAGGTGTTTACAAAACACTCACTACTCACAAGAAAACTCTCTAGTATTGGGAGAAAGAAATGATTTGGGATTTTGGGATGATTATGAAGCTAAATGAGCTAGGGTATTTATAGTTGAAATTTAAGGACTAACTTGTAAATACCCTAAAATTCAAGGACTTAATTTTGTAATTATCACTTGACAATTTCAACAATTTGGTGCTGCCCAAATTGTTG